TTTTAAAAAAGAAATTTAATTAACATTTATTATTTTTGCGATACAAGTTTCTCTATGTAATTTTCATCATTTTATAAGGAATTTCGAAATTTTACATCCGAAAAAGTCATATCCCATGTAAATTTTTGGATGTAAAATTACATGGAGTATGATTTTTTTGGATGTAAATTTTCAATTGTAAAATTTCTACCAATTTCTTTACAAGTTCGATTGTGCTTCCTCCCAACGTTAAAATTCTGCGTCCTCCCCTGCCCATTTTGACCACTAAAATTAGACATTTTAGTAAAATCTCAAGCATATTTGATTACTTTTTTTGAGTTACTTATTTTGCTCCATCACTTTATCCCATATGTTTGCACTCTTTAAATTTACATGAAAGATGAGATTTTACTTCCTACTCTATTATTTCTGAGTCTCATTACCGGGTGAAGATGAGTCGATTTCATCGTACAGACATATACTAACCATTTGAGTTGTGTATTCGTATTATGCATATTAGAGGCCAGTTCATGCTAAATTGAGACATGTTGAGAAGGGTAAAGCTAAGAAATTGCTAAGTAGGGTCGTGGTTGGGACCCACAACCATGGAGTTAAATGGCGAAATCCCAACTTCTTCCCTGGTCTATAAATAAACAGACATATTTCGAATACTCCCATAAACAACCTAAGAACTCTGTTCACATTTTACACAACAATCCCACGTTAATATTTGTCAAATTATTCAAGTAATTATAAAAAAAGAACATTTGCAAGGTTCCATAATCATGGTTCGATTGCAGAATCAGTTTCTCGAAAATTCTCCGTTCGCCGGCGACGGAACCATGGTTGCCGTTGAATTGCCGGAACCTGACGTCCAAATCATCACCTCGGATGGCAGAAGTATCCCGGCGCACTCTAGAATTCTGGTATTTATTCCATTCTTAAACCCACTAAATTCAATCTACTTTCCGAAATTTTCTACCGTGTTATTTATTTTGGGTTCGGGAAATTTTTTTTGCAGGCTTCGGCATCGCCGGTGGTGGAGCGGTTAATAGCAAGGCCGCAGAAGCGCCGTAGCTCTGATCGGAAAATTCATATACTAGGCGTTCCATACGACGCCGTTTTCTTGTTCGTGCAATTTCTGTATTCCTCCAAGTCAGTTTCCCATCCTCCTCGCCAATTATTCCATTTTCTACGTCTAATTTAATTTACTCCTTTTAACTAATTTCCCATTCGTATAATCAAATTTCATTATTCAAAAATAGGCTACGTGCTCAAAAGTATGCTTTTTTACTGTTGTAAATAAGCACGTAAAAAGTAAACTTTTAAGCACGACAAAAAATGTGTGTCATACAGCAGCCGCCCATTTTAATCATTGTACACGTGGCACATTGCGGACCGACTCTCAATAATTTGTGAAATTTTTATTACATGCTTCCAAGAACATAGCAATTAAATAAGTTATTGTTGTGTTTATATTTGATCAGGTGTGATAAGGAGCACATGGAGAAGTATGGAATTCACTTCCTTGCATTGTCCCATGTATATTTTGTACCACAGCTAAAGCAGAAATGTATAGGGGGTTTAGCCGAGCAGTTGACTATCGAAAATGTTGTCGATATACTCCAGCTTGCTCGACTCTGCGATGCACCTGATCTTTACCTAAAATGCTTGAAATTGTTATCGAATAATTTCAACACTGTTGAGGAGACTGAAGGATGGAAGTTTTTGCAAAACCACGATCCACGGCTCGAACTCGAAATTTTACAATTCATGGATGAAGCCGAATCGGTATATCCTCAACACCTCCCTTCATTCGTACATATTGTGTTTTGGTTATGTCATATTAATATTAATACGAATTTGCTTTTGATAGAGGAAAAAGAAGACGAGGCGGCATAGAGAGGAGCAGAGTTTGTATTTACAATTGAGTGAAGCCATGGATTGTCTTGAGCATATATGTACGGAAGGGTGCACGAGTGTTGGGCCGTATGACACGGATCCGAGCAAGAACAAGGGTCCGTGCAGCAAGTTCTCGACTTGTCATGGACTTCAGCTTTCAATTAAGCACTTTGCTACTTGTGAGAGGAGGGTTAACGGAGGGTGTTTGCGATGTAAAAGAATGTGGCAGCTCTTTCGATTGCACTCCTCGATTTGTGACCAGACAGATGAATGCAGAGTCCCTTTGTGCAGGTATAAGAAACGCGTCATAATATTCGTGTTTTGGTTTTCTTATTGAATTATCCTCCATGTACAGAACTATTCATTACCAGAATTCTTACAGATACTCACATGGTGTGTGGGGCCCACATGAATTAAATATTATTAAAAAGTGGACCCCACATGTTTGTGTCTTGTCTGGAAAAATTATGTGAAATTTTTCCCTGTAATTATAGTAGGGTTCTTTGTTATTAGTAGAAAATGCTTTTAGGACAAGTGTACACGTGTCTTAGGTTGCACAAATTAAGAATTGATGATGCGTTACCCTTGTTATGATCAAATATGAATTCTTTCTGAAGAAAAAATAAGACGATGTCAGGCAATGGTTGAAAGGAATTCAAATTTCATGTTAGTTGGAAAATAAAAATCCACCAAACCCATAGGAATTCGTTTTCCATCAAAATAATGAAAATACAACTTAAAGTGGTTGTAACTTGGAATTCGGTTTGCATTTCCACGTTGCAATTAAACGGCCAGAGTGGAATTCGTTTTCTTCGAATGTGACATTGTTCATGGAATTCGTTGCAAATAAACAGGATCTTAATGTTCTCCAAAATCATCATGGATGGAAAATATGTAGATTTCTTCATCATTAATTATACTCTAAATGTCGAAATCCCGTTTGGTCGGGAAGTAGGTCCCATATGATGTCTTCGTTTTATCCTAGCGTTCTTCACGTGATTAATGGATCTGATTATCATGATTCAGTTTCTTTCCAAAAAAGACACTAATTTCGCTGTCCCGTAGGACCAATGTGTTCCCCTCCCTTGGGTATATCAATAGCTTTATTAGACTTTTTAGATCCAAGGTCAATACTTTATGGCGTTTGCTGTGATTTTTTGAATGGGAAAAAGTTGTTGAAGTACCATAGTTTTGTTCCTGATACATTGGATCTTGATGGAGTGTAATGGGTAGAGAAGGACTCGTTAGTTATAATCATATAAGCGCTGAAACCCAGGTATGAATTTGAGGTATTTGTCAGAAGTAAGGCTTAGTATGTTATTCTTGTAGGTCGNCTTTTCAACCATACATTTCCCATCATATCACTATTCAAAAATCAATTATTCCCCCAAAAATCCCTACCGAACACATTCTTAGTATGTTATTCTTGTAGGTCGTTCATAAATTGTACATGACAACTAAATTGCATCTGCAAAAAACTCGGATAATAATTCTTCTCAAAAGTTACCTGATTGGTTTTTAATGTTGCAGACATTTCAAATTGAAGGTCCAACAAGATAGAAAACGAGACGATGCGAAATGGAGATTGCTCGTGCGAAAGGTCGTCTCAGCTAAGGCTGTATATTCCTTGTCTCTTGCTAAGAGGAAGAGCGAAGATGAGCTAAGAGCAACTACGAACTATTACAGAATGGGAAGCTTCGAAATATAGAAGTTAGCTTGAATCGAATCGAATCGAATCGATCATGTAATAGACATATTGTTTTAGGCTAAAATTGTTAATTTTTTTTTTTGTAAAAGTTGCTGTTCTAGTCATTCTTTGCTTCTTAGATACTGCTGTGGCCCCCTGTTTTTTTTTATGGGATGTCAGCAGTGAAAGTAGGATTGAAGTTATTTGTTGTGCCCACTTGGCTTTCATTTCTTCAAGAATAACTAGTCAAATAAATGGTCCTACCAATTCTACAAGACTCGGTCAAAAGATCGTAGCATAGAAGAAGATGCTAAGATAAAAGTGTGATCATGCTAGAAGAAACAAAGAAAGAAATTATAATGAGTGCAAATAATTCGGTTGAAAATATAAATTAAGAAAAAGAACAATTTACATGGTTGAATATAATCTTAATCGAACTTGTTAGAAAAAGGAGAAGTAGACCAACATTTACATAGAATGTCATGTTCGGTATCGAATTAACGAAAAAGAAATCATGTATTTGACGACAAATTCATCGAAGCAAGACTTTATTTTGGATAAGTCAGTCATATTGAAAACACATGTTAAAAATGAAAGAAATATAGTACTAGCAGGCTCATCATCATATCCGACATCCACATCCTTGTCCGACTGAATGTAATTTTTCCAAAGTTACTATTCTAACCCTCTGGAACTAAAATACTCTAGTCAAATTTCTAACTCTTGTTAAAGTCTCTGTGCTAGATCAGCTCGATGTAAATAGCGGGCTAGCTTCCACGTTAACAATGCAATCTCGAAGTCCCACGCAATCATGCCATAATGTGACTTTGTTTGCTATTGTTGTAACGTCAAGATAAACAACAAATGATTATAGTTAATTAAATAATTAAGCCATTGGACCAAGTCACCTAATACAAATTATTGTCCTTCTTGCTATTAGTTTATCTCCATAGTCTATAGCGCGCTTTGCGATTGTTATTAACATCCCGGTAACTAATAACTTCTTTGCTTCAATCTTGTAATGACATCATACATGCAAATTGGAAACATTTATGTGTAAAAAGAAATTATTCATGTAATTTCAGTATGCTCTAATACGTCGATCAAATTTAATTTTTATCAAATGTCTAACACGTATAATGGCTTGAATTCAACATCTTTCTCTTTGTCCGTAATAATACTATGTTGAATGATCATATATATATATATACATTTTTTTTACTTGAAAACTTCAAAGATGATTGAGTAGAACTTGAAAGCCAATTGAACATAACCAGAAGGGTTATAACGTGCATCCTTCAAAGAACTTCTGGGTCAAAATTCAAATTATGATAAGTTCCTAGTTTCTTGTTTGACTAACCAATAATCAGTTTCTCTCTTTCTTTCTTTCCAAAAGTTGAATAATCAGTTTAATTTTGAAAATATGAACAAAGGAGTCTTGTGCATTAAATAAAGAGAGATCAAGGGAAACCGAACGTTTTCTAGAGGAAAACTAACCAAATCATACAGGCTATTCATTATTTAGCTAATTTTACTCTATCAAACGTGCCCTTAAATTACGCTCCAACAAACACGTCCTTAACATGTCAAATTAATCACAAAATCCCTAAAATAGTGTCCTTTCATATTCCAAACCAAAATCTTCACCAGATCGTCTCTTCTTTGAATCACCCACAAGAAATTCCCAAAACCTAATCACCAATTCCTTCTTCTATAGATCTACCACAAAGAATTCCATCGAAGAAACTCTAATTTTTTAAAGACACCCCCCGGCCACGTGGAAGACCCAGTTGTGCAAGTTAGGCTTAACAATGCTTCATCCACCGGTTGTCAGCTTAACCATGTAGAAAGTAATACTTTAAA